TTTTGTAAAATAGAAAAGGTGTCCTCATGTAAGGGATGCTTCTGAATCCAGTTTCCTTGATGGCGGGCTCCTTGTCCTGCTTGCCCAGTACCCAGCAGAGGGCCTGGCCAGCGGAAGGTGCTCAGGAGACGTCTGCTCAGTCATCATGTGTAAATGAAAGCATGAGCAGAGGGCAGAAGCTGAGGGTGAGCAGGAAGGGGGTACAGAGGAATGAAACCTGCAGTCTTGTTCCACAGGCACCACCCTCCCTCCTTCTCCCACACCCAAAGGGTTCGGGAGTTTAAGCAGCGAACGTCGCATTCTTTTGTTGTTTAGGGCAGAGGAGCTACCTGGGGAGGTGGCAGGGGGGAAAGGCCTGCAGTGGAGGACTGCTTGTTGCTGGACAGCAAAGGCAACTGGTGAAAAGAACCATGCGGGCTCTGCTGCGGCCTGCGGGAGACCTCACCGTGACATTTGGCCCATTTCAGACGCAAACTTATTTCTAGGGCATGTCCTTGAGGGTCCTACCACTTTGCCAGCCTTGAACTCCAGTTACCTTCTCACCAGCACCCCAAGACTGGATACATGAAGCTGAATGCTCTGCTCGGCTTCTCTGTCTTGTGGGCCTTATAGCAAATGCACACACTGTTTTCTCCTGACTCTTGACCCTGAACTTCAGCAGCCCTGAACTCCAGCCCCACTGAAGCCTCCAAAAGCCCTACTCAGCTTCTTAGCCTGACAGCTGCAGCCTTCTGCTTGGCTTCTCAGCCTCTCTGCCCAAACCCATTACTAATCAAGTAATATCAGGCTTAGTTCAGCCAGTCTCCCTTCCCCCCGGGGTTTTTAGCTCCTGCACTCTCTCCAAAGCCATCAGAAAGCTGTGTTGGTGTATGATCTAATGATTCCTGTTGTACTTGGTGGGAGGTTTAGTGTGTTACAAGGTAGTCCATTCTAGATACAATACCAGTGCACGTCCACTGGTAGTTTTTTCAGTGCTCCTCGGGTGACAAACGCTGGGGCTGAGAGTTCTGCACCCAGGCCAACATTCTCATTGAACAGAGGGAGCCTGAAGTCCAAAGGGGGGCAGAGCCTTACCCAGCCACCCAATGTGTTCATGCCAAAGCTGGGACTCAAATCCACCTACCGCGAGTTCCGGGTCATTGTGCCTCCATGGCACCAGGCCAGTTCCCCATAAGGCACCCCTTCTGTCTCCGTGTCCTTCTACCCTGTAAGCAGGCTTGTTGCTCTGGGCTGTGAGATGAACTTTGGGCCCCTTCTACCCATGCACCACCCCGCCGCACCCCACCGCAGGGTGGGCAGTGTTGGTACCCTAGAGACCCCCCTCTACTCGTCCCCCCACCCCTTCCCTGTTCCCAGTGCAGACCAGGAGCAGACCACCTACTTGTCCCAGACATGCAGTCAGTTGTGGCTCTGCCTTAATGGGCCAGGATGGCCTAATTACAGGCTCTGGCTTCCTGAGTAATTATGGGTGTCCCCAGGACTCCAGAGTGCTCTGTTCCCCGCTCCCAACTCCACAGCTCAGCCACTGCTGCTCTCGCTGCCTCCTTTGCCTAAAACACACCCCCCTCCCTGAAAGTAGCAGGTAGTATTCATTCTTTGCCCTTGAGCTCTGCCGATACCAGGGCCTCAATCCCAGCTATGTCAGGGGCACCCCGTCCTGGAGAGGGCCTTGGTCAGCCTCGGTCCACATGCCTTCCCCCTGTGCTAACCACGAAACTACGGTTGTTGACTTCCTCCCCGGCCGGCCCAGCTCCTGCCAGCTCTCCACTCTCTGACCGCATGATTCATGGCTGACCCAGGAGGGACAGGCAGGGGCTTGGCTCCCCTGAGGAAGGCTGTCTTTCTGGCCATCCCTCTCCTTCTCTGTGGGAATCCTCCCACTCCTCCGGGCAGCACCAGGGCAGAAGGCCCTGGCAGTGGGAGGCCAGGGGTTAGGGAAAGGGCCAGGGCCCCAGCCGCTGTGTGATGAGGCTCACAGGCTGCGGGGTGGGAAGGAGCATGGGTTTCAGAGCTTCCCAGGCCTGGCTTGGAATCCTGTCTCTGCCCCTTACTGGCTGGTGATCTTGGGCAAGTTGCCACTCTGTGGGCTCTACAGTTTCTCATCTATAAAATGGGGCAGTGTCTCAGTGTACAGTGCCGGGCACATCGTAGACCCAAAGGGTTTCTACTCTCGTTGCCCCTCCGTTCCCCGAGCGAAGGCAGGTCACAGAGAAGGCAGGGAGTGGGCCAGGGGCTGAGTAGCGCAGAGCAGTCGTAGGTGCACCGGTGTGGTGCGGCCCCGTCCACCGGCCCGTGACATGGGCAGCAAGGAAGGCCGCCGTCTGCATCGCGGGCACCTGCCAATAACCCCAGATGAACCCACCCCACTCAAGGCCGCTGCCCCGGACCCCTGTCTGGGTCTGAGAGATGGGGTCAGCCGTGCAGCCGCGGTGGGGGTATGGAGGAGGTGACCCCCTTCCTCGTTGTCCTCTTTCCACATATGCTGAGGGCTGTAGCTCCTGGGGAAGTGAGGTGGAGGTGTGACCCAGGCTTCTACACAAACCTTCACCCAGGGCGTGTGGGCGCCCGGCCTTCCCCATCCAGGGAAGACGCCGAGAGCTTTCCCAGAAAGTGCAGCCAAGGGGACTGGCCGGAGGAGTGAGAGAGGGGGCTTCTTCTCTCTGCTGTTGGCATAGACACCCTTAGAAATTCCTTGCATCTGACTTCTGTGCCCTTTGGGGGCCAGGGGAGGAGAGGATGCCCACCGGCGATGGTGGCATGGGAAGGAATAGGTGAAAGTGAAGGGAGAGAGTGAGGGGTCTCCAGCTGGACCTGGAGGCCAGGCAGGGCAGGGCATCCTTGAGATGAAACTTCTCAGGCTTTTCCTGAGTCGAGACTAGAGCTGGAGATTGTGGAGCATTCATCCAAGAGACAAGAGTGGAAGCCACAGAAGTGGCTATAAGAAGAGAGTGAAAAAACAGGGAGCTGGGAGCAGGCCCTGGGAGCCAGGTTTGGGAGCAGGCAGAGGATGAGCCCAAAGAAGCAGGCAGAGGGGCAGGGATGGTCATGGAGCCACAGGGGCCCTGAGGAACTGTCAAATGCGACTCAGTTTTACAGATAAGGACCTGAGCTTGCTTGGTCAGGGACTTGCCCAGTGTCCCTCCATGGCCTTCTGACTCTGTCCACCCGCACGGCCTCCAGGGCCGCGCCTCCTCGGAATGGCTCTGCTTTTCCTAGCCTCAGCTGGCCCAGGTGCCAAGAGCAGAGTTGGGGTGAAGACAGGGCAGTGGCTTTGCCAGTTCCCAGCCTATCCTGCCAGGCTGGGGGAGGCAGTCCCTGCCCAGGCATCTCCCTGTGCCTGTGTTGTTCTGTGTTGTCCTGGTTGCCTTGTTGGAGTGGTGTGGGGCTCGCTGTGGACCAGAGGGCAGGTCCTACCTCGAGCTGCTCCCAGGCCAGGGCATTGTCCACCCTTTCGCCCAGCCAGCCTGATGATGGAGTCCCAGCTTGTGCTGCTGGCGGGCCATGTGAGCCGAGCCCACGCAGGGCCACATCCCTGCTGTGTGAGGGAGGTGGGCATGGTGGGCGGTGGCAGGGAGCGGCTGCAAGGTTTTTATTGGCGCTGGCGGGACTGATTCTGTCTGGGTTCCGGTTTCCAGTCTAGATGGCAATAGAGGACGGTATTCACGGACACTCTGTCCCACTTAAACACACTCCGGGAAGGAGACAAGAGGGGAACAGCAGGAGTGGGGAGCATGGGGGAGGGTGGGGTGGCAGCAGGTAGCATTAGCCAGGGAAGGAGCCCTGACAGACCACAGCCGCTGGGAGGGCTCCCAGCTCCCCGCATACAGGATCCCTTCTCTCTGAGAGGTCCCCTGGGCTCTGGTTTCCACTCAGGGACCTCTGGGGATATCACTTCCCCTCCCTGGGCTTTAGTTGCCTCCTTTGTGAAATGACAGAATTGGACTGGCTCTTACCCAGCTCAAAAGCTCCAGGATTCTTCTGCCAAGGGGATGACGTAAGAGCAGAGTTCTCAGACAGAGCCGACTGCGGGCACTGGACTTCATCGCCCAGGCCAGCTCTGGGGTTCACTGCTCCCACCACTTCTAGGCCGAGACTGCTGCGGAAAGCCCAGCCATCACTGTGACCTGGCCCGTTGGGGCTAAAGCTGTCCTCCACAGCTGTGTCCTCACGAGGCCAGGTGATTCTCTCCTCTCTGCTCCTGAGCAGTCTGACATGCCTTGGGCAAGTGATGGCTACACTCCGCTTTGTGTCCTCAGGGTCAGTTACAGCTCTGAGAGGTGGTGACTTGCAGGCCTACGCAACCAGAAGGATATTAAGGTCACCTGATCCCTGGCCTGGGCACTAGACTGGGCTCTTTGAGGAAGGGGCCATGTCCTCATATTGGCATCTCCCCCCAGGCCCTAGGCCAGAGTTGGGCTGGAGCAGGTTTCCACAGCCTTTTGGTGAATCACCCTCTTCGAGTGTATTCGGAGCTCTCCCTGCCATGTGCCAGGCTCCAGGCCCAAGATGGAGCATGTAAGCCCGGACTTGGGATTGGGGAGTGAGGTGTGGTGGGGTGAGTACAGCGAACAAAGACCAGGAGGAGGTATCGAAGGCCAGGCCAGCCTCTGGAGCAGGACAGACAGTCTTGACAGACTTGGCCTTTTCCCAGAGCTGTCCAGCTCTCAGTCCCTAACTTGAGTGTCCATGTGGAACTATGGACTAGCCCTGAAGTCAGAACAAGGAGTGCCCGCCTTGCACCAGGCCTCGTGCTGGACTCAAACACGTGCAATCTCAGAACCTGTGGGCATTATCATCCCTGCCTCACAGATGGTAAAGTCAGCTCAGGGAAGTCAAGTGACAGGCCCAAACCCCTAAAGTCTGCAGCTGGCAGACCTTGGCTTTGCATCTGTCGAACCCTCAGGTGTCACAGTGCCCAGTGCACTGCACCTACGTCATAGGAAAGCCTCAAGAGACCTGCCCCTCATGGACTGACCTCTCCCCTCTTTCTCTAACCCTAGGTGCCCCCGGCCCTCCAGGACCAAGAGGACTCAAAGGAGACATGGGTTTGAAAGGACCTGTTGGTGGCAGAGGACCAAAAGGAGACCCTGGCAGCTTGGGCCCCCCGGGCCCCCAGGGTCCTCAGGGGCAACCTGGGGAAATTGGACCCATGGGAGAAAGGGGGCCGGTTGGCCTGCGAGGCTTCCCAGGCCTCAAAGGTTCGAAGGGCAGTTTTGGAACTGGAGGCCCAAGAGGACAGCCAGGCCCCAAAGGGGATGTGGGGCCCCCAGGGCCAGAGGGGCCCCCAGGGTCTCCAGGACCAGAGGGGCCTCAGGGAAAACCGGGGATTGCGGGGAAGACGGGTTCACCAGGCCAGCGGGGACCCGTGGGACCTAAGGGCGAACCAGGGATCCAGGGTCCCCCTGGCCTTCCTGGGCCCCCAGGCCCACCAGGAAGCCAGATTCACTACTGAGGAGGGTCCCCAGTTCCAGATACTGCCACACAGAATGCCGGGAAGGGGCTGAGGGCAGTGAGCTCCCAGAAAGCCTCACATACAGACAGTTGTGTTCCTTTGATCCCGAAAGGGGTTGCCACCAGGCCTGCCCTGCACATTTGGGCTCCCCATTAGTGACTGTACCATGGAAAGCAGCCCCTCACAGACAGACAGACAGACAGACAGACACACACACACACACACACACACACACACACATTTCCCTGCTGGCCAGGGGGGCCAACTGGGTTTCCCTGGCTGGGCAGGAGGAGAGGGCAGAAGACCTCCCTCTCCTGTGACTGAGCCAGCCAGGGAGGTGGCTACCTCGGGAGGAAGGTCTTGACTCTGTCTCTGAATTGGTGACCAACTTCAGGCTTTCCAGCATCTTCACACCCATCTCAGCCAGTACTTTCCTGGGTCTCCCAGTGGTTGAAAAGACCCAGGGAAACCTTTACAGGGGATTATATTTCAAACTCCAAAGACAGGGTGGATTTGGCAACTGGCAGACCCACCCCATAACCATGGGAGCAGATCCTGGGACCTGCCTGTCTCACACAGGACAGAGGAATCCACCATGGCCATCATTCTTGGGCCCTGCACACTGTGCCCCCAGGAGCTCAGCAATTTTCCCCCCACATCTCCAGAAAATTCCTTGCTTCAGCCTTGCCTCCACCTCTCAGAAGCATTCCAGAAGAAATCTAAACAGGAGTTTCACCTGTGCAGGGACCTTCTCCAGGCACTGGGGCATTCTGCTACAGTGGCACCCAGCATGTGGAAGATGGCAGAGGGGTGGTGAAGGCTGTGGTCACTGGGCTGCCTGGAGAGCTGCTCCGTCGCTGTCCATTCCTGGGGTGGGCCCTCTGTGGTGGCTGGGGGAGGGCTGACCCCCGATAACAGGGCAGTTCTCCGTTCTGCACCCAGATCTCCTGCCCACTGACCTCTCCCCACTGTGACACGGAATGGCCCACAGCCTCTCTGTGTGAGTAGCACAACCGAATGAGAAGGGACAGACCTGAACATCCACAAGAGGCTCATTCGGATGTCCCCCCTCGCCCATCTCCAGCTTTCTGGGCACCCTGGCGGAAAGGAGCACGGAGGAAGTTCCCCCAGCAGGAAGAAGGCTGCTCATAGGCTCAACTTGCTGTGAGGTGGCCCCACCTTTGTGTTCCAGCAGAGCCTGACCACCCCGGGGTGCGGCGCGGAGCTGTCTCCTCCCCGGCCTGACTCGGAGAGCAGCCCCTCTTCCCCTTCCAGCAGCCTTGATGCCGCCTCCCTTCTCGTAATAGATGTGCAACTGGTTTGCACTCCTCCCGTCCCCACTGCCATGTAATTCTCCTGTCTACATATGATATCGTGCAGCATAGTATTAATGACTCAGTAAAGAGCTGTTTCCAAGAGGGAGGTGTCTGCTAATCCTTTCTGCCCAGCCGGGGCATGATGGCTTCCGAGGCTCCTCCTCATGTGGCCTTTGAAGGGGAGCCAGTGGATGAAGTGTCCCCTACCTACTCAGTTGCACTGCGGAGTCTGGGTCTAAACCCCTGGGTCTAAACTCTGCACTCTGCTGGGAGTTCACGGGAGTCTTGTTGGGACCAGGGACCAGGTATGTCTGGGGGGGTTACCCCATGAAGAGCAGGGACCCGGCGGGAAACAAGGTGAGCTTTATTAATGGGGCGGCATGGCCCCAGGGCTCTTCAAGTAAAAGGAGAATGGAAAATAAGATAGGCCCGGACCCCTGAGTGATACCTCCTGTTTCCCCCTTCTGTCTCTGAGACAAGGAGCTAGAACAGAAGGAAGAAGAGGTCAGGCCAGAGTTGTCCCAAAGGGCCTGGCTCTCCAGGAAACAAAGGCTAGCTGGGTCCCCTGTGAATCAGCCGGCCCGCTCCGGGGTTTGTGGGGGAGCTCTGTCCTTGGGAGCCAGCTCCTAAGGCATATGTCCTAGTCTTTTGGGGCTGCTTCAACAGAATGCCATAGACCGGGAGCCTTATAAACAACAAATTTATTTCTCACAGCGCTGGAGGCTGGGAAGTCCAAGATCAAGGCACCGTGATTCAGTGGTGAGAGCGGCTTTCTGGTTCAGAGAGCCATCTCTTCGCAGTGCTCTCTCATGGCAAAAGGATCGAGGGAGCTCTCTGGGGTCTCTTATAAAGGCACTAATTCCATTCATAAAAGCTTCACCCTCATGACCTAATCACATCCCAAGGGCATCACCTCCACACTTTGGGGTTAGGTTTTCAATATACAAATTTTGCGGGGACACAAGCATTCAGTCTGTGGCAGCACAATAGCTACCTAACTTCATGGCCTAGTGAAAGCCCTGTTTTGCCTTTTTTTTGGGGGGGGGGGCAGGTGGAAGGGGTACACATTAAGCAGGGTTCTCCAGAGAAACAGAATAGGAGGTATAGCTGTTTATATGGAGAGAGAAGCTGGAAAGTCCCATGATCTGCCATCTGCAAGCTGTAGACCAAGGAGAGCCAAAGGGGACGTTTCAGTCCAAGGGCAGGAGAAGGCCCGTGTCCCAGCTCGTGCTGTCAGGCAGAGGGAGAGAATTTGTCCCTCCTCACCTTTTTGTCTTATTAAAATCCCTCAACAATTTGGATAATACCACCTGCATTGGGGGGGAGGGCAATCTTTCCTGAGTCCACTGATTCAAATGCTAATTTCTTCCAGAAACACCCTCAGACACACCTAGAAATAATGTTTACCAGATATCGGCATCCCACGGCCTGGTCAAGTTGGTAGGTAAAATTAACCCTCACAGGGTTCTTGGTAGAGGAAGTGAGCAGAGAAGTGAAAGAGTGGGAATGGGCCTAATGGGGTCACTGCACAAGGCCCTCACCACTTCCTCAGCCACCCATGGTGCCATCGGGTCCCTCCTTCCCACGAACCTGAGTGTGTTGGGCACTGAGTTAGATACGGTGAGTGAAGGAGGACTTGTCCTGAGCAGGCTCATCTCCAGGAGGGGCGAGGAGCACATAGTAAAAGACAGCTCTGCACCTTGAACAGGCCAAGGGCTGGATAGGAAGGGGCCCCTGAGAGCAAGTCTGGCCGGTGTGGCTGAGCAGGCAAGGAAGGTGTCACCCAGGTGGTTGCACTGAGATGATGGGCCCTGAAGAAGGAGGCAGCAAGGACAAACCAGTGGTGTCATTTAATAGTCTGGGTCCCCAAGAAAACATCCAGGAAACTCTAACCACTCATTGTCCAGGTTGGGGTGGAGGCCACTCCTGGCAGGGGCACCGTTAGGTGGCCCGACAGCAGCTGGGGTCCTGGAGAGCTGGGCCTGGCAATTGGGGGCAGGAAAGGCCCAAGCAAGAGGGCAAGAAATACCCTGGAGTCAAGATGCCGACAAGTTAGATCTGGAATCAGTCCCAAGGAATGAAGGGCCAAAATGAGAGACAAAGGATAAAAAGGATAAAAAACGGAGGCAATTCAAGAGCACAAAAACAGAGATTAGAAGCGCTCATGGGCCCCGGACAATTGCCCCCAACACATCCTTGGCCATGTGGTTTGAGAGGTCAGCTTGATTCAGAGGCACAGGGTGGAGACAGGTACCTTGAGCCCACTCACGCAGTCACCCCAGGCCAAGGCCCAGGCCTCTGGCTTCCCTGGTCACAGACGTCCTCTCAAGCAATAAAATAAACGGGGGCGTTCGTGATACAACAGGTAAAGTGAAGGGTCTGGAAACTGAAGTACAGTGAAGCCTCGGGGTTACTGGACGTGAAAAGCTACCAGTGTCTCAAGCTTCTCTTTACTCCAGAGAACCGATCAGTCTCTCATCTCTCTTCTCTCGGTGGCACTGACCTCTCCTCTCGTGATCAACATCTTCTGTTTGCACAGGGCAGTGTAACAGGGCTACCGCTCACCACCAAAGCACCCGGCCCCACCATTTCTAATTCCCAACCCTGGGAGAGCAATCGGATGGCTACCCTCTCACATCAGGGGTCTGCCCTTGATCCCACAGAGAGGGGGGTAGAAGCGGAGGAAGAGGGGGCATGTGGTAAACGAGAGTCACAGAGCCAGAGAGAACATGAGCAAAGCTGGACAGGAAATCTGCACTTGGCAATACAGGACTAGGAGACTGACTTCGACAACAAGCACCAATGGAAGGGTTACTAGGCACCAGAATTCAATTCTAAGCACTTTACATATACTAACTCATTTAACCCTCACTACAATTTATAATGTAGCTAGTATACCTATATATATATATATCTATATATCCATGTATATCTATCTATCCATCTAGCTCTGTATGTACTATTATTATTCCCATTTTACAAATAGGGAAACTGAGTTTGGAAAGATTAATTAACTTCCCGCAGTCACATAATGACATTTTTAGACATATCTCCATTGAAACTCAACCTTGTGTGAGTTAATCTCTGTGCATTTCTGCTCCTCCCTGTGGAGTGGGAATTATAATTGAACCTATCCAGTGATATTGCTGAGGGGGAGGTAAGATGATTCTTTTGTCCAGCTGCCCAGTGTATGAGTCAGCTCGGGCTGCCATAACAAAATACCACAGGCTGGGTGGTTCAAACAACAGAAATTTACTTTCTCAGAGTTCTGGAAGCTGGAAGTCCAAGATCGAGGTTCCAGCTCTTGCTGGCTGGTAGATGGCTGCCTTCTTGCTCTTTGCTCACATGGTTAAGGGAGAAAGAGTTGTGGGGAAAGTGGGGGATGTGGAGAGAAAAAGAGAGTGCTCTCTCTTCCTCTTTTAGAAGGCCACAGTCCTATTGGATTTGGGTTCCACCCTTAGCACCTCATTTAGCCTCTATTACCTCTAAGACCCCATCCCCAGAGAGTCACAGTGGAGATTAGGGCTTCAACATGTGGATTTTGTTTATAGTACCCGGCATGGTTGCCATTCCAGAAATATCAGGTATTCTCATGATGGTCCTAATTACCCAGAGCCCGAGAGTCTTGAATCACAGGGGTGCCAGTTTCCTCTGCAGATGAGGGGCCAGAACTGGCGGCCCTGCACTCTCCCACTCCCACATTCCCTTAACGCTTAGAGCTAGGACCGAGCTGGAGAGCCGGAGGCTCAAACACTTTACTTTTCAAATGAGAGACCAAAGGCTGAGAGCAGCTGAGGGGTTTACCGCCCATCTGGGACAGCACTTAGGTTTCTTGGTTCTTGGTCAATGCAGTTTCTCACGTCTCTGGTTTTGCCACTATTCCAGTTCTCAGGCCACTTTGCTGTTGGGTAGAACCATTGGGCAACTCCTGCTGCACATTCCCCCAGAACAGTACCTGGGCCGTTATTGGTGCTGCTGAAAATCCCAAGAGCTGACCCCGGGCTTGGTGGGGCAGGCAGTCAGAACCATAAGGCTTGTAGCAAACACTGTGAGTCAGTATGTTGACCTGTGCATAAACTTGGTGAAATGGATCTATCTGCATCAGAATGAGGAGACTGGGTGGGCTCCACAATGGAGTCTCTCTGTGGACATGGAACCGGGGCAGGTGGTGCTTCCTGCCTGCTCGGCCCTTCATTCGCTGTGGGACCAGCACTGCCCTACTCTGACCTTCAGCTTGTTATCAGGAAACAGAGAGTGGCCCGGTCTTGACTCCTTCTAGGGATCCCATGGAATGTGCCAGGTTCCTCTGTTCTGCAATTCTAACCAAGTGTTCTTCCTCCTGCCAGGCTTGGTGACTTTCCTGGAACTTGCCAAGACCAAGGTGATAAAGCCTGACCCCAGACTGAGAGGTGATAGCTCCCAGGACTGCAGTCACTGGATTAAAATCATGGCCTTTGCTGTTGAGGTGTTTTAATCTCAACCAGATCTGCAAAACCCTGGAGGAGCTCTTTGGTCTCCTAAGGAGAGCAAGAGGGCTTCCTGGAGGCCACAAGCCTTGGGCACATTTGTGAGCACCCCTAAAAACTCCAGGCTCCCCGTCCTTCTTCCCCAGCAGCTTCACTCCCCCTCCAGCTGGGGTAGGACAGTGGGCTGGGCAGAACCTTCAGGCCTCCCTTCAGCTCCTCTTCCCTGGCAGGGGCTCAGCTGGCAATGTCTGCGGCACCAGCCCTGGATACACCTGTCAAAACAGAGCCATGGGAGCAAGAGCAAAGAGATGACAAACCACACTTTCTAGCAGGGTTGGGCTTGGCTGGGCTGACAAGGAACTGCCTGGACACATATAGGGAGGGTCCACTGAGCAGCCCCTGGGGACTACTTGACCTGCAGAAGCACAGCTCATTTGTTTTCCTTGCTTTCACCTGTCCAGTCCTTTTGTTTGCTTTTCAACACTTCAAAGTGCAAGGCTCAGTGTTTGATGCCCTAGGGGACCTGCAAAGCTTGGTGCTGTGGTCTTAGTAGGGTAACCACCTAGGAGCCCATAGAAGCGTAGACTACAGGCCTCCACCTGAGACCCACTGCCTCAGAATCGCAGAGATGGGGTG